GCGTTTAGGAAAAATTAACCATGGTTCTGTGGTTTCCGCATGTGCCCCTATATAATGCAAAGACCGTTTTCAGAAAAGCTCGGCATCCTCTGAAAGAATTTCCTGGTAAGCCCCATCTAAGAATTATTTAGCCTTCTGATGTGTTCTAAAATTTGCAAAAAATCGAAAAAAATTACCGTTTCACTAAGTAATCAAAAAAGCGAAAGGCTCCGTAATTCGGTCCAGCGCCGGCACCCGTGGAGAGGTGTGTGCCACTTGGTTACTTTGAGCGGCAGTGTTATGTACTTATGGCAAAATTACAACTAATTCTGCCATAAAGTACATAATTCTGTACCAACGAGACGAGTTACGTGCTTCGCTTTATCCCGAGCCACGAAATGATGCGATGTCGTTACGTTGCCTCCTACGGTTGGAGAAGTAACCCTCTTCCCCCGTTTCGGAGCCATCTTGTCTCTTAGGGGAGCGCTGAATTGTCGCCATGTAGACGGGTGCGCTGATGAACGCACATTCCTGGGCGTGCAACATGCAGCCGAAGAAGTGGTAATACAATCGCTACTGGAAAGTGTGTGATGGGGGTGACAGGTCTATGACCTGGAACCAAGATTTACTTGCGTTACTCAGTTCTCAACGAGGTGTGTCGTATTTGATATTTTTTGGACCGGGAGGGGTGATATTTTGATTCGGCAATAGTCAGAAGGTGGAAAAAGGGCTGCTTTGGAAGTTGGAGCGGTCGTGGCTGCCGCAGATATGACGATTTTTGGACTCAGCAGTCGTTTTGGATGGAATAGTGGGTCGCGTTTGGGCTGTGTCGCCTGGTCTCAGAACCAGGTATTGAACTATAGAAACAGCCGTCGTGGTCGGGAACTGAAGGGGGGGGGGCTTGTCGATGAACTCTCTCAAGGCTGCTGGTGGTGGGGTCGTATCGAGATCCCTTTAAAGGAAGGGGTCGGTAAATTTTTGGAATCTGCACAACGCACGGTTGACTATGCGTGGAGCTTCAGCCACCTGACAGGCTCCGGCAATCCCCACTTGCGAATACGCTGCGCTGCGTCTCGCAGGTATCGATGCTTTTTCGGCGCCGTCCCCCTCTTTGTCCCTCCCCATCGCCAAAAAGGGAGGCTATTTTCCTCAGTTTTTTATCATCCATTTTTCTTTTTTTTTCTTATTCACTGCGCGAAATAAAATTCATACTGCCAGGCCGGGCTGGTGATAAGGTCAAAATTGGTGCAGTTATGAAGTGAGACCCACACTTGGCTCAACGAAAGAGCACTGTTTCGAATCTCCTCAAAAATCATCCCGAGTCACCGAATGGGTTATCCGATCACGGATTTTTTTGGCATTCATCTTATCCTGTTATGGGCATACGTACAGAAAAACACGTGCATGCTTTTATGTATTTATCTCCATCATATTATATCTTATGGGGACGATATGGCAAATGCGAGTTTACCACACGCGCGGACGGTTCGGGCCACATCTCGGCGCCCACACCCCACCAAGCCTTTTCCATCTCAGTAGTGGATTACTTGGTACCAGGCTTATCTAATAGATAAATATATGGAACGGTATATCGGGGGCATTAGCATTTTTTAAGGGCAACTTGCATTTTAGTGCTAAGACAATTCTGAATGGAAGGTAGGATGCGTGGCGCATCGCAAAATGTTCTGATCAACGCCGGAATTTTAGCCTTTTTTCTTTTCAAATACACTTCTCGCGTCACGGAAGCTGGTTGTGAGTCATTCAACTGTATGTTGTCGTTAAGGTATTTTGTGTTGAATGCTGATGACGATCGAGTAATCGGAAAGAAAGGCTCACAAGGTTTCTTCATGTACAAAACGGGGCAAGGTGAGGATAGCATCTTTCGATATTATGTTTTGCAAACAAATAAAAACGCAAGCAACTGAATGAGAGCCTTTTCAGCAGTTATCATATCGATTTATGAAGGAGGCGTTCAGCCGGAAGCATGCAGCAAAACCACCGGAGCTCTAGCCGACTACTTCAAGAGCATTAATTATTGACCGATGCGGAATGAATAACGGTAGGTCCACTCGAAATTGATCTGAAAAACCAATGCACAAACTGAATGGCAAATATTGGGTCTAATTCAAACTGAAGTGAAGGGTGAATAAAGCTATAGTGTAATGTTTGAGAAGTATGCTGAGTTGGAACGAAACTTGCCCCAGATGGACTCGAACACCCGCGCCGCCTCTCTGCTTTAGCGCGGGCAAGTGCGCTACAAGACTTACGCTACCGGGGCACCATTTCATCCCAACTCAGCTTTTCATGTTATACTTACCATAGCTTATCGGCACTCACTTTTATAACGGGTTCGAGTCCCGTCTGGGGCGAAAGTTTTGTTCACAACCCAGCATTCTTGTGAAACATTCGCAAGGCGAACTGCTGCAAAGCCAGCAGTTAAAAATAAAAACTATAGTTTAATATTTTTGAAGGTATAGAATGTAGCAGTAGTCAGCCAAGATGGGTTCTCAAAACTCTGTTTCTCTCCTCCGGTCGATGGCATAGCCTTCCTGGTCAAGAGTAGCGGAGTGCGTGCAATATGCACAGTTTTGAACCCATCCACGGCCTTGTGATGGCCCATACAGCCTGTGAGCAGGGTCAACCCTATGTTGCTACAAGTAGCAACGGGGGGGGTCGTACTTGCTTCGGTTGTAAGAAGTTGCATGTGATGAGTGGGGACGGGAGAAAATTTGCCGTTTCAGCGCGTGTATATATACCCCTCCCCCCCCCCCGCTCGACGTCGAATTTTTTGGGGTAAAAATTGTTTTGAAGGAGGGGGTCGTATGAAACATTTCATGAGGGAGGGGGGTCGTAAAAACTTTTTGAAAAGTAGCAACGATAGGACCGACCCTGCCTGTGAGAACTGCGCGTAAAAGCGGTGTCCAAGTTCGACTTCGTGTAAACCTTGGCATAGTCTTCAGAATATACGAGCCTAGATGTTAAGCTCCCAACCAAGATTGGCAGTAAGTTTTATTAGGCCGACGTTTCGGTGCTTTCACCTTCTTCAGAGCCTTTAGAGATGCTGACCAGAGAGGTCCACCTGCCACCCTCTGGTCGGCATCTTCAAGGGTTCTGAGCTGGCAGGTACGTCTCTCTGAGCATCTCTGAAGGCTCTGAAGACGGTGAAAGCATCGAAACGTCGGCTTACTAGAAGTTACTGCAGTTTTGGTTGGAGGCTTAGCAATTACGCGCACATAAAAGCATTGGAGATGGGGTGTGACAAGTGGCGCCGTTAACACATGTGTGAGCGTGACTCGTACCAGTCTCTGAATTGAACACCTATACCTCCCAACATCATCCCTCAGAAGGCAGCGCTTTGCTTTTCCGCACCCCTTATGGAGGAATAAGGAAAAAGGATAAAGCATTTGCCGTTGATCAATCCCTTTTGGGATGCGGCACGCATTCTACTTCCATTTGTACATTCGTAGTGGCGTTTGAATGCGATGTGGCCTATACAATGACTTGCGGGGGCCAGCCGATGTACAAGTCAGTGTTTTTATCCTCCCAGACAAGTCTGGTACCAATTAACCGACCCCGGAGGGATGGAAGGCTTGGTTGGCCCGGGCGACTCACGACCCAGGATTTGATCCCCGGACCGCTCGCGTGGTAAGCGTGCCACTTGCCACTACACCACTTCCGCCCCTTATGGAAGATAGTACCGCTTACTTCTTCCATTGGTGTTTGTGTTGCTCCTCGTAAAAATTGAATATGCTTCTCGATGCCACTGAGAATCTCAGCAAATATCAAGTGCATGGCGCATCTATGGATAAGAATCAGGGCCCAACTCGTTGTTCCTTATATCAAAGAAATCCCATTGGGTACATGGAGTAAGAGAGGCATGTGGTGCTTCTTTTCAGTTCGGTTTCGTGCCGCTTACAGTAGTCTCATTTTTGAAGGGAGAGAAAGATCCCAAATGCGAGCAACATTTTAGCTCGTTTTTGCTTCAATCTCCTCCAAACCTCTCCCACTGCAAACGACCAAATGTTGCCTCCCTTATTCGGATAGTCTCTTCTCATTATGCAATGACGCTAAGCTAATGCTGTCGAGTCTACCGTCTGACCTGGAGGCCCTAGGAGAACACTAAGATCGCAACCGCTTAATGAGAAACGTCTGAAGCTACCCAGAAGCGGCAGTGCGAAAAATGCTGGAAGCACCTTGGGTCACCAAATTTGCTGAAAGGTGCTCTAATGGGTGTTCTAACCTGGAGTCCACGAATATCGCACTGCTTTCCTGCGGAAGTGCTCAGAACTCGACTTACAGGCTCCCTCTCCAAGTGTGATAACGCCGGCGACTGTGATGCAGACCCTAGGCGTTCTCCCACCAAATGTGTTTTAGGTTCGTGTTGTGCGTGTCGTAGCGGGGCCAGGCGGCGATAGCGCATAGTACATGCCCTGGGGCCTTATTACCGCGCCGTTTCGAGATTTTGAGCGTGGGAACATCTCTACGGGTGCGTAACCAAGTACAGGCATGACCGAAAGGGTTGGTTTGGTCAACTAATCCCGACCTTTGCCTTTAAGACGTTCTGCCAAAAAACTTCTACTGAATTGTTGCGCTGTGGAGTTTTAATTATCTTTTTGTGATAATAAAGAAATATTTTTTATTTTCAGATAACGCCGTGTTTCTGCTTACTTGCCAAAAAGCAGCAAACGGTCTCTGTGGGCACCAAATAATTTTGTTAGTTATATGGTCAAAGAAGAAAAACCCGCTCATCATTTCTTCGTCGCTCAAACTTTTATCCAAGTTCAATTGGTTTTTATGAACATTATCAAGTAACTTACAATTAATAACGATACTCTAGTTCTCTTTTTTTGCTGTTTGTATTATGTGAAGGCTTTTGTTGTAATTAAACTATTTCTACCTGACGGAGTGAGACTCGGTTGAAGATTGTGCATTGAAAAGGCATTAAAATCAAAGTTCATCTGAGTATGTAAAAGAAAAGATTTTCCGTAGAAACTATCGAAAATATTCTACGAAACCAAGCTGCAGGTGGATGAGGTTCGAGAATGAAAATGTAAGTGTTTTGCATGTTCTAAAAGGAGCCAAAGTCAAAGGAGATGAACTGTCGTGGCAGAGGACGTTTCCGTAACGAGCTATGAGGGCTCAAATGTTAGCTCGCCTTTGCGCCGTCGGCTCCGTCTTCCAGTGATTATCTGGCTGAATCTGCCGTCTCGCTCGTTTTCCGCTGCCTCTTGTTCCCATGTCCTGTTCTATACCTCGTCCGATTTAGTGTTTCCTCCACCACAGGATTCGTCCAAACACCGGGATTCTCCGGGTATTTGGCAGCCGGTTCTTTTCCTTCCTTCTTCACTGACTAGCCTGTCTACGCGCACTTCTCTTTCAAGACACGACTGGGCATTAGATCTTTGTAGAATTCTCTCGTTACGAAGAGCTAGTGCACCTATGCATTAACAGGTGTGGTGTACTGGTCCGCGAGATGAAAGTAAAACGACAAAGACCTGCGGCTTGACTGACACAATAGGTACCATTCGCGGTCAATCCGTCGCGTGCGTGTATTAACGTCCTTTCACCCTTTCTCGGACGTGCTTTTCCTACGGTGTTTTCCCATCCGCCTCGCAGCGCCGTTTCCCTTCGTCATGCCGCGAGGTTGTACACTTTCCTCGGGTGCTTTTTATCCTCATTCCCCCCCAACATCCCTTCATGGTCAGGCGCACAGCTTCCGGTCTGTATTTGAAGCAAAACAACACTATTCGATCCAGACGCCGTGCTTTAAGTGCTATCATCCAAATGAGTTGCCATATACGTACGTCTTTGATTTAGTTGCCAGTGCTCGCCGTTAGACAGAATTGCGGGAGCATGACATAAGAAACGTTTTTTACAGAATATCCAGTTGCTCCAAGAGAGCGAGGCTCATTGCATACTCCAACTTTTATCAAGTTATCGCCAACCTGCCAACACTTCCATTTCCTAGCAGGCTTTCCTTTGTATATGGCAAATATAATCCTCCTTGTCTTTACCCTAGTTTTCTCGTCATACTTGCTTGGAGAAGGATATAATTCATGACTGTCGTTAAGAAACTGAGCGATTCTCGCTGCCACTCGATGAGCGTGGATGTGGTCGGAAAGTGTGTTTGTCACCGGGAAAGGGACTGAGAAATAGCTGAAGTAATGAAAGGTGCGGCTGAATGATGAGAAAAACTGCGTGGTACATCAGAAGCACCCTCAGAGTAAGGCATTTCGATGTGGAACTAAAGTGGCGAATCACTGAAAAGCACGGAGATGCCATACACCTTTGATGGGCCGACGATTTTCCCGCTAACGTTAAAAATTCACCCGTTCAGCTATCAAGACAGAAATAATCATAAATGTTTATGATCTAAGAAAGTCGTTTGATGGCAACTGAATAGTGGCAATCAATCAATATTAACAAACTTAGTTGAGTGTAACCACCTTAGCAGGTGAAATAAAACTATGCATGGGAAAGCATAGTGATGGATCATTACTTATTCGCTTCAAATTGTGTTGAAAAATTCCTATTCTCACCATCGTTTTGATTGCCACCGATAAGTGATAATGTGTAGATGGATTTCCAGCATTTCGTTCGAAGAAAATGTGGGGCGAAGAAATGTCTCAACATTTCGACGACGGGGTGGCGCGCATGCGCGTCAGATATTCGCGCGATTCTGGATGGTTTTGCTTGATTTACTTAGCATTTTATCATTGGGAAATTCTTAGTTTACATCATTGGATCCAGGAAATATGTACCCATTACTAGTAACGAAATTACTGAAGAGCAATGCTGGTTTTAGAAAAATGCAAAAAAAAATATGCCGAGGAACCCGCAGAATGGGCTGCCGTAACTGTGTTCAAGAGAAGAAGTCTCTCCACTCTTGGACGTTACTTTGCTGCAGCCAATGTCCCAGCTCAACGGCCGCTCGATTCGAAAATAATACTGTTTATTCTCATTCAGAAGATGAAATCCCAATTTTAGAAGTTCAGAAGTTGTTGAGAAGATATGGTAAACGATTTTACCTATCCATTCG